ATCGATCGATGACGAAAAGTAGCCCATGACACCCGCCCCGAACCGATGTGTATGTGTGCAAAGTTTGGTCTGGATCGGTTGAGAAATAAAATTTTCTATCTGAAACGTAGTACATACAGACAGACACACAGACATACCTACACATGAACAGTCAGCTTTATATGATGCAAGGAACGTGCTTGTTTCAGCGTCAAAATTTGCCTCGATAGGGTCACTGAGAGAAAGCTTTAGCAGTATGGTGGTGGTTCCACTAATTGTCCCATATCTAGTCAAATTTCCAAGTACGTTACTCACAGCAACGACGTAGATTGGACCAGTGGCTCGTATGTACACTCCAGTCTTGTTCGCACAAGTAAGATAGCTATTAGAACCGAATGGCCCATGGGAAAGCTTCTGCTCATCGAAGTAGACATCAGTGTTTGCTTCCTTCAAACAGAGAAATTGCAGTAACCTTAATGATGAATTACAATCAGGCAATTCTATGCGTTGCTAATTTTTTTTGTCTTCCTAAAATAAAAGTCCTCCCCATCGGAATTGTCATGACCTAGCCAACTGTTTCTGCGAAAAGGTACTGGTTAAGCAGCTGAAGAGGCAATTTCTGTCAGGTGTCAAAACGAGATAGTCTTGGAGGTTAAGTATATTAGGGTTCGAGATCTTTCTTTATTATAAACAAACATACCTCAAAAAAGAGCATGAACTCTCCCGAGTCCTCTGGTAGGTACTTGTAGAACGGTGCTTCTTTCCCCCAGTTTGATGATGGAGCCAACATGAGTGCCTAAAAAGGATAACCTTTGATGCTTGGATGGATAACAACACATATTTTCGAATTCAGAGTTTTTTCTTCATTTTTATTTTTATTTTTACATAATTTTTGTATATTAAATGGGTCCGAAACGTGCCGTTTATCAGACCCATGCTAAAACCACTTAGAATTAGGATAGACCGATACTCTAAACTGTGTCCGATGCAGTATTTTTTTCTCTTTTTTGATAGTTATGTTTTTAACGGATTCCTATGATATCGCTCGAATAATTGTCAAAATCTCCAGTCTATGGTTTTTGCCGCCCTGAGTTTGGCTAGTTCTCAAAATACGACAGTTGGATAGAACAAACACAATGCATTGCGAAATCGTGATATACACAACAGCTTCAAACACTGATAAATCTTCGGAATTTGAAGCTTTAGCAAGCAACTGAGCGTTTTGCGGTTTAAAATTGGATTTTGAATTTTTTGGGTACAGCCTGGGGCGAGCCCGAAACTAAGAATTTTAATGAATTTTTCTTCTGTTCTGTGAGAAATGAGGTGCCCAAGTATGGAATTTGATGATAGCGTCTAAAAAAAGGTAGCTAGAGTTGCCAGAAAAATGTATTGTAGTGCACTTTGTTTATTCTATCCAAAGATTATCAAAGCTAATCCAAAAGTTGAAAACAGAAGTTCAAAAAATAGCTGAACTCGGTCGGCAAAAACCATAGGTTGGAGATTCTGACGACTATTCGAGGGACATCAGAGGAATCTGAACGAAAACGTGACTGTTAGAAAAGGAAGAAATTCTGCATCGAATACTATTTAGAGCATTCGTCTATGATTATTCGTGGTTTGAGCATAGGTCTGAAAAACGTCACGAACTTCAGGACCCACTTAATACTTTTGTGAGACGAAGACACTGTGAGAATTTTGTTATGGTACTAGTTGATTGAATTCATATTTAAACTCGAATTTACCTCGTAGCTACATTGACTTGGATGATTTGAATAAGTGTTCCCATAGCCGCAGACCGATCCTGACAGCACAGCCACATTTTTGTTCGATGTAACAACAACGGCATTCTGGAGAAGATAATTTGACAGAAGAAGAACCAGGATAGGCTACATACCGCCCAATCTGTAGTAATAATGGTCAATTGCTGGCCTCGGTTCAGCGTTGATTCAAGGAAGAAAAATTCTAATGTTACCTGTAAATTTTCAAGGTCTGACCTTCACCGTATATTCGCACTAGACAGTTAATGTAGTTACGGTAGTATTGTCTTCCACAGCAATTATGGTGAAGATATTTGTTGACTGATAGTCCTCGTAGAAAGATTCTTCTCCGACAATATGGTACTCTCGTCCCAGTTGGCAGATCTGAAATACCGTCATCATCTTAGGACCAGGAATAAAGCATCTCGCATCTCTCACCGGTAAAACGACAAATTTGTCTTCTCCACGGCCTTCGGTAAGACTATTGGTGGCAATTAGAGAGACCGGGACATTCGAATTCACGAATAACGTCTTGTTCTCCACGACTGCATTGTAAAGATACTGTTCGTCGTATATGACCATGTAGTCGGTTTGAATACTTGGAGGATTTATAGTGAACTAGAAATAGACAGGAGCTATTCACAGAGTAAAAGTGATAGTATGTATTAGGTTGTTACATGGGTTTTATTATACTTTCTCGTCTTTCTCTGGGAGTCTTGAAAATTCGGCAAAGTCTCATATTTGCTATATAAGGGGAAGGAAGAAGGGCTATCATTAATCATTTTCGCTTTTATGGACTGTCTTACAAATACTGTGAAAATAGTAACAACTCTTCAACCTCTAATTTTTTTCGTCGTACTAAAAAATTCTGCCATTCTACTTTTTCATTTTTTTGTATTTTTTATGGACTTCTGGGAGCGAAATGTAATGAGAAGAAAATCCGAAATTAAGCTTCACAATAACACCAGTAGAAAATTTGAAAATTGTTCCGAAAACTAGGAAATTCAAAAATTGTATTTTTCATATTTTTCATGTGTGATATGTTCAGATTGAGTATAGTCAATCCCCACATGATTTCAAGATATAAATATCTTAGAGGTTATCAAGATTTTTTCTGTCAAATGTAACAAAATATTACTAGAGTTCTGCGATGCACATGTATCGCAAAGCATTGTATGCAAAATTGTGGACCTGGCTTATTTATTTTTGACAAGATTACGGAATAATATGCTGATATGTGTAGTTAGAAGTGTAATTTAAGAAGATATGCAGTTGATGAGCGGGATTGAACAACGATTGCATGTATCATGAAGCTACTTGTAGAAAAGATATTTAGTATTCTGGACCCTACCATGTTGGCACGAAAGTTCTCGGACATTTTCAGACTAGATCTGCTATCTTTCAAAACCTAATGCATATACATCCGATAGAGATAATATTCGATAGAGCAAAGCAAGCTTTGCAAAACGGCATTATTGCTTTTGCACCAAGTTTGATAAACAAGTTAGAGGGGCGAAATATAAAAAGTTTCAAATGACTCCGTTCAAAATATTTCCGCGGATCTCAAATTTGCTCACGGACATACATTGCGGTTCATAATTATACGAACACCCCAAATTTTGGAAGT